TTTTTTTGGGGGGGGGGCACTGAAATGCCAAGTGTACCCACCTCGGCTCTTCTCCCCAGTACACTATCACCATCTTCTTTTACCTGCAAATTTGTAAAGACAGTAGGCAAAGTGCATCAAAGGCAAGGCCAGGTCCAGCCAGGCAACAAAGCTCGGATTACCAAAATGGGGGCTTCGGCAACGGCTCAGGGGGTTTCACACTCTGGGAGAAGGTGGGTCTACAAAAGCTCCTTTAGAACGGCTCCCACCGAAAGCAGCACGGCTTGTGCTCGGTAAGGATTCCACAGTTCCCAGCAATGACTTTATTGGGGGCTCCAGACCTTCAGTAGATGCTGAAGCTGAGACTGGATGGATTCTGCTTGGACCTGTAGGGACCCTCCTTTCCTTCCTTCCTTCGTTCCTTTCCCTCCCTCCCTCCCTCCTTCTCATTCCATCTCCTTCCTTCCTTCTCATTCCCATCTCCTTCCTTCCTTCTCATTCCTATCTCCTTCCTTCCTTCTTTCCTATCTCCTTCCTTCCTTCTCCTTCCTATCTCCTTCCTTCCTTCTTTCCTCTCTCCTTCCTTCCCATCCCCATCTCCTTCCTTCCTTCTCATTCCCATCTCCTTCCTTCTCATTCCCATCTCCTTCCTATCTCCTTCTTTCCTTCTTTCCTATCTCCTTCCTTCCCATCCCCATCTCCTTCCTTCCTTCTCATTCCTATCTCCTTCCTTCCTTCCCATCCCCATCCTTCCTTCTCATTCCTATCTCCTTCCTTCCTTCTCATTCCTATATCCTTCCTTCCTTCTCATTCCTATATCCTTCCTTCCTTCTTTCCTATCTCCTTCCTTCCCATCCCCATCTCCTTCCTGCTTTCCCATCTCCTTCCTCTCTCCCTCCCTTCGTTTTTGCTTTCTTTTCTTTCTCTTTCTTTCTTTTTTCTTTTTCTCTCTCTCTCTCCCCCTCCCTCCCTCTTCTTTCTTTCTTTCTTTCTTTCTTTCTTTCTTTCTTTCTTTCTTTCTTTCTTTCTTTCTTCCTTCCTTCCTTCCTTCCTTCCTTCCTTCCTTCCTTCCTTCCTTTCCCTGGACTGCATTCTGCCTCTTGCAGTTACAGTCAAGTTTCAACCCGAGAGATTAAACCAAGATCTGGGTTTATCAGCATCAACTTAGTGGCTGGCCAGGAACAAGGTGTTCTCTCTCTCTTTGCCCCACAGATCTTCACCTGCAGTTACAACAAACTCCCCGTTGGGCCGTGTTCCTCAACCTGGCCTGTCTGAAGATGTATGGACGTCAGCTCCCAAGGAATTCTGGGAGTTGAAGTCCACAAGTCATAAAAGGGCCACGTTTGAAGACCCCTGCCGTAGAGCTTTGCAGGTGATGATGGCTTCTTTAAGAGTTGCATCAGGGTCTCATTGACAGTGGGGCAACACAGAATGCGTGAGCCTTAGACGAAAGGAGAGACTTAAAAAGGGTGGCAGGTTGGCAATAGTGGTTGGGAGCTGGGAGAGCTTAGCCAGTAGGGACGGGCCACGTTCTCCCCTTCTGGAGAGGACAATGCAAAACACATGAGACAAAAACTTGAGAACAACTGGGCAGAAGCATGCCAAGAACAGCCAGACTGAGCTAAACAGGCTTCATTTTTCTAGGCAGGAGAGTGATTCCACCTGGGAGTAATTACCATTAAAAAGGAAGTCACAGGGCAGCCAGCTTTAGGATGAAGGAGGATGGGCGTCGCATGCCGTGTTCCAAGAGGAACAACAACAGCCACAAAAACAAAAAAAACAAAAGCAGGGAATGGAAATGTTCACTCACTTCTTCAGTCTGCTGGCAGAACAGATCACTCAGCCAGTCCCTGCCCCCTCCCTTCTCCAAAGAGCACGGGCACGTTTCTTATTTTATTTTATTTTTGCTATTTTAAGTGATTTCTGGTTTCTGGGGAGCAGGAGAAAAGAGGCGCACTCACCTCCCGGATGGCCCCATCGCAAACCCGGATGACGTTGAGGAAAGTCGGCATCACTTGAGGCAGGAACTGCACACACTTCAGGCCAAG